ACTAACGCCCATATTCACAAACATTACTATGAGGTCTCACAGTGCGCGTGGACGCACAGGGTGACACACGAACCAATCACAGAGCTCTTTTCAACGTTGTGCGTCCGATTTGTTGCTTCACATAAGCAAGCATCGTTTGTGAATATGGATTAAAAGATTCTTACAAGAGATACATTGTATCATAGTCATCACGTCTTCTGTAACGTATTCTGATCTTATGACATTATGTTTATTGTGAAAGCTAGAGCTTATACCAGCTAGAATCATATTTCATAAACTGTTAATTATTTCATACGAGGGCAAGATTTCCACTTTAAATCTTAATAAACTGTCTGTCTCTACGCTCTAATTTTACTACTCAACGGTTTTCATCAATCATCATCAGCCACAAGACGTCCAATGCTGAACATGGTTCTATATTGGCTCACATAAAATTCTAAATCCTATTCTTTGTCTTACTACCGATTTGTGTTCATAATAATCTCTCTTCATAATTTTATTTTTCATACTTTTTTTATTCATACATTTTTATTACTACCATCGGAACTCATAACAGTTAGTAATCATAATTTTTTTATCAATACTGTTACTACCAAGAACCATTTAAAATACATAATTTTTAGTTTCAGATCTTTTTTCTTCATAACATTCATTGATCATATTGTTTTAATTAATAATGTTGTTACTAAGAACATACTTCAACTCATAATGTTGTTGTTCAGAATAATTTACTTTATAACAGACATACTCGTATCTTTAAAAAAAATCATATGTAATTTAATAGAGTAGATAAGCATGCAGAGCATGCAGCATGAAAGCAAGCATGCAGCATGCATTGGTATCTCCTCGTCTCCGGCGCTGCGGGATGTGCAGCCCTTCCGCCCTTGCGTAACGAGGCTCAGGCACCCACGCTTGCTTCCGCAGCTTCGGCTTTTTGTATCGCCATCGGCGCCTTCGGCGCCTCGGCGACCAGCCTCAGCCGCTCCAGCTCACCCGGGCGCCTGAGCCTCGTTACAGCGGGCGAGGGCTGCCCTCCCTCCGCGCCTCCGGCTTTTAAATTACACTCTAGGGGTAGGGCAGACAAGACTACGTGGAGTCGGTTTTGCAGCGATTCGTTTCTGTCACGTTAGTTTTGTGGCACAAAATATTGCCTGTTTTGGACCATTTCAAATTAATTTAATGTTAAAATACGATTTAATACGAATATAGACATCATGATTTTCAATAATATGGATAAATACACTTATGAGTAATAAATTTATGAAAACAAATATTAGGATACATCACATTTATGAATATTATAATTATTTATTCGAATGATTATGAGTTTCGATCATTAGTATAGAAAAATATATGAAAACAAATATTAGTAAAAACTAAGTGTATGATTAGTGATATTATGAATATCAATGATTATGTTTTTAAATATGTAGGTTTTAAATTTTTTATGAAGAATGATCATTATGGTATCAAATTGTATGAGAAATATTTTCGGACCTCCAATGATAGGAATAGAAAAGTTATGTAAGAAAATGCGCTACCGCTGAACATACATAGGTCTCCCCCAATGGTTTCCATATCGCCCGGTTGGTAGCGGCCTGCATCCAGCGCTTTCCTTCTACCTAAGAGGTCGTCGGTCTATCTTGTGGATGAACAGTGGGTTTTTATCAATAAATAAAGCAAAAGAGCAAGGTAATATTCGTTTACTTTGTGTCTGTATTGCTCCCATGAGCATTCAGAGATTAAAAATGAAGAAAACTCTCTTCTGAACATTTCTTTTGCATCCAGAACTCAAATAATTACGTGGAAGCGAACATGTGACATCTATACTTCTATACTAATATTATAAATGTCTGTCTGTCTTGCTTTTACGTCTAAACCACTGAACCGATTTTGATGAAATTCGGCATAGAGAAAGATCCTGGGAAAGTTCAAAGAAGAATAGTTCTAATCCGGGTTTTTGAAACAGGGACGCGCGCGATAAAGTATTTCTGTGACAGACAAAATTCTACGCGGTCGAAGCCGCGGGCGGAAAGCTAGTAGTCTTATATGTATTTAAATGAACATGCCAACCCAATCATTGGTCGATTCAGCCCATTATAAATGTCAAACCATATGATTTAGCTATCTCTCTGCGGCTGGCGGCCGCGGACGCAAACAGTGTAAGTACACAAACAGAATACCTGATAATCTGACTGTGGGAAAGTTAATGTGAATGTAATAGTGCTGTTTGGTTAATAGCTATCTATGGGAAAAAGTCTGTAGGTATTACAGGTGAATTTTTCAAGTGTTTGGTAAAATTCGTGTGGTAGAGTACGATTACCTACTTACATTGTTTACTTCCTAGAATTTTATCCTTTTATGTGACACGCTTACTAATGTAAAAGATACAGCTTGTATTTTTTAAATAGCTCAATACATTTTGATACGTTTTCACGATTCACTTTTAAACATTTTCTTGTAAAATGTTACCAAAAGTTAGAGTAGACCATAATGGCTCGCTCTATCAAAAAGTTATCAGATTTCTTAAATATAATAATAATAAATAAATAAATAAGCTAGAGCCAAGCTTCTAGCTCTACACGCCATAACTTTACAAACTCCACACCTTAGTCAAAATATTATGTGACTTGGTTATATTATTTTCCATTTTAGTTTACTAATGAATTCTAATGTATTGTTTTGCATTTTCATCATATGTATTATCTTCTTACTCACTCTTAATATAAACATCAAAGTAACATAACTGTGGTTAGATATTTCTAATAACCGAGCTAAAATGGACATTTAACAAGTACAAAACCTTTTTGATCCATCGTGCCAAAAGCCTCCGTCCCAGCGCCACGACGTAACAAACATGGCCGCCGTTATTTATGGCCGAAGTTTGGCGCGCAAATTGGACTCCACCGAAATAAATACGATTATAATGTCTCCCAAATTGCCCTGGTGAGTTGGGACAGATTAATTTTAACAATTCGTGAGGGGGCGGCTAATGAATAGAATTATAATTTCCATTCGGAGTTTTTGGGAATAAAGGGAAGAGTTTTGACTTTTGGGCCGTTGTGTTTTGAATTTGGAACTGTTTAGTATGCGTTAATAGAGTTATGCAAGCTTGCAAACAAAACGGCAATCAACAATAATACCAAATTGTTTAAAATATGTCCTTTTCTAGTAATTTGTATAATTTTAAACCCATTTTTCACCGCAAAGTGAATTGTAGAGATCACTGAAATCTTAACTAGTTCTCTGTTTAGAAAAAGATCATAGTATCTTAAGATTAATTACAGAATTGATAAAATCGATTGACATTAATGACATGATGACAGTAAAAGCAGTAACAAACACAGGATTATTATTAGATCCCATTATTATTATTAGATAGCGTGGGCAGGCCTCCTACTAGGTGGACCGACGATCTGGTAAAGGTCGCGGGAAGAGCCTGGATGCGGGCAGCGCAAGACTGTGCATTGTGGAAAACCTTGGGGGAGGCCTTTGTCCAGCAGTGGACGTCATTTAACTGAAAGGAACGAACGAACTTTATAGTTAATGCGGTTTACTTTTTTAAATCGAATTCAAGTGTGTTTTTGCGATAAAACAGTTTTAATTTTAAACTACTTAGTACTCATAGTTGAATCTGCCAAGCTCTCAGACAATGATTATCTACAACTAGATATTCCCACTCAAACAGTATTAAACAAAATAATTCTCCACCAAAAGCTCTTCAGTCCGCAACTCATTTCAAACCATAAACATGCCAAAAGAACACCGTCTTACTCTTTCTTTGTCTTAATAAAAGGGTGCGCCGTCCCACTCTAACCGACTACGCGATTGGCTTAAAAAGTTGTTACCCCGCCCTAAACAATGGAGTAAAAAAAGAATAATACCTTCTCGCTCGCTCAGTTCCGTTCCGAAGTGTCCAAACGTTGTTTTAAGTAGGAAATGTCCCTGGAATTGCCTGATTGCAAAATGTCTGGAATCCGATTGTGTAGGTGTGCTCTGATTCGGGAACGTAATGGAGTTACCGTCGATCGGGTGATTATTTTCATGATGGGGAGCTAGTTTTTTGAAACTAAATTGAAGGTATCTTAATTGAAAGAGAAATGGGTTATAAACGTAAATTGATGAAATAATCGTTATTTCAAGCGGAGGATTTTTTTAATCATATTATTGTTGAACGAAAGAGATACTAATTAAAATTAAATATGTCCATATAGGATAGGTTAGAGTTGATGAAATTAATAAAAGTATTATAAAGATATTTCAAAAATGCAACAAAATTAGGTAGGCAGACTACGAATAATTTTAAGTTTTAACTACAAGAATTGAAAACTTCAGCTTACGTCGTTAAAAAAACAACGAAACATCTTACTTTTCAATTAATTTAAAGTGCATTTAAAAGTAAAATAGAGCTTTAAGCTTTTACTCACAATAAATAAATACATTTAGATAGAGCTTGTTATACATTATCTAAAAACTAAAATAACAATGAACCGGTAAATTGCAAATAAGAAAACTCATATTTTCATGTTCTAAAAGTACAAAATACAATAAACAAGTGCACAAGTCTACTTAATATTTTAAAATAACTTCTACTACGCTCGTAAATAACCAGATTAAGTCCAAAATTACTACATTAAATTGTGTAATGTCCGCCGCTAAAAATACACGAAATCTCGCAAACAAAATGAGCTTAAGCGGAAAAGGTCCTAGTTTCGTTCGACAAATAACAAAATCCAGTATTGTGGTTAGCGTTTGCTCGAACAGAATGCAACCACTCATGCGTACATTGCTTTGGGAGCGAGGAAGACAGAAAATAAGAGAGCAGGACAAAACACAATGGGGTGGGGCGTGAACAACAATCCAAAATACAATGGCATGCAATTTTAAGTGTCGCGAGAAGGACAAGAGCTCAATATTGCTTGGTCGCTTAGTACCGCCCAGCAAAGTCCACATACGATACAATATGGGCCGATAATGGGCGCCAGCCATGGCACTAATAAAATAATTCAGTTGTTACTAACTACTGCGCGGGGCAGGTTTCGGAACGCGCGTTCCAATTTCGAATCGGATCAAATTTGGCGTGAGTGAGTGGACTCTGTTGTGAAGTGGTTTTTAATCTGTGCAATCGGTTTTTTTCTTTTGTTTTTGTGAGGTGAGTTTTTTTAATGAAAGTTTTTAAATTAAAGAAAAGTTTATGTACATTTAATATTATTTCAAATTTTACAAAACTATTTATAATATTTTCAAAAAAGTTTCAACATGAACAATGAAGTAAAGTAACTAACATTACCATTTTTAAACCTTTGTAAGTTTTTACCCAACATGAAAACCTACAGGAATTTTAGATTAGTCACTCCTAATAGAGTAAACATTAATATTATTAAGGAGAGACGAAAAACATTTTTTTAAAGAAAAATGTGGTAGGTTTCACGATCACCTGAATAGAATAGAATAGAAGTCATTTATTTGCGTAAAAGACACGGTACATATTTGTTCAAATTATACATAAAGCAGTATGTAAGTGCATGCATGCTCTACCGAATGTCAGCATGCAAAAACTTAACAAAAATGTCACATTAAATAAATTAAAATTAAAAAGATCCACTGAACAGGAAGTTTGACCGGGCGTCACCTGAAATTGCAGGTTCAACCCCCTCAAGGATCTATTGTTAGTGTGATGAGTATTTTACAATTATTATTAAACTCAGAGCCTTCGGCGAAATTTGGGGGTAAGTTTAGTTCTGGAAATTCATAGAACTAAATTCTTGCCTGCATCAATACATATTATGTAGCGGTAAATTTGACTCTTACATGAATTATCTCTAAATAATATAACTCAAAGGTGACTGGCTGACTGACTGACTGACATAGTGATCTATCAACGCACAGCCCAAACCACTGGATGGATCGGGATGAAATTTGGCATGCAGGTGGATGTTATGACGTAGGCATCCGCTAAGAAAGGATTTTACGAAACTCCACCCCTACCTAAGGGAGTAAAACGGGATCCACGCGTACTTAGTCGCGGGCGGCCGCTAGTTATCTAATAAAATCTTAAAGGTCAACTAAACTTAAAATTTCAACTTAAAATATAATAACTAAGTAGTTATAAGTCGTTTGACACGTTTCCAATATTTTATAAATTCATTATAAACAAGTAATAGCTGAAATGTTACAATAAGTAACAAAAGTTCGTTCTTTCTCCGATCATCATAAAACACGTACGACACACGTCTCACGCAACTTCGAAACATAATAAACACGTCCCAAAGATGTACGTGTAGAGAGGACGTGAGAATGTGTAAGTGCCCCTTGTGGGCCCATAAACAAATAAAGTTTCTTGACTCGTGTACGGTGACCAAATCACTCCATACACAGTCATAGGGTGCCATTTTAAGGCATATTTTTAGTGCAATATGCACTTGAAACCAATTTTTATAACCTAAGTTTTTTCATTTACTTGTTTTTTTTACCGCAACCCCAGTGCCTCCAAAGATCCTACTGAAATCAATGTCGGGCATACATTGCTCTTATTCTTTGATATAACCGGCTTTTGCCCGCAACTTCGTCCGTCAGTATTTATAATAGCATTAATTAATATTAAGTAACACTGTAAAGTTTCATCAAAATCCATCCTGAAAAACTTTTACAATAGGAACACTTCCCACTATTCCCGCGGATGTTGTAAATAAACTTAATTTTCAGTTTTATCAGATTAATTAAAGCTTGCAATGTTCTAACAATTAGTCAAAGCCCTATAAAAACCAAAATAAGTGTATAATTCTTGCAACTCACGAAGGCGATGGAGCTTTACTTGTGTGTGTACGTGTACATGCACATATTATAGTGTAACTTTGAAAAACCACCACCACACATGTAAAACTCATTCGCCTTCGTGAATAATAAATGGATTTGAAACTAGACGCCTCAATTGCAACAACTAGTCTATTTCAGATCATTGAATCTATCATACTCTACCATCAGACCAAAGGAAACGTTCGTTTTCACCACTGAAACTTGTGTTCACTACAGCCCACTTCAGTTTTATCGCCAATGAAACAGAACCGTAAACGTCGGGTAGACCCGCGGGAAAAGTTTATGTGTCTGGGGACCCGCAACCATATTGATCAGTAAATAGGGAAAGTTCTAAGTTTAATCTACCAAAATCTAGAGAAAAAGGGATGACAAGTGACACTTTTAAAAGTATGAAGTCATTTAAAAAAAACATAATTTATAAGTTAATAAATTGATTGTTCTGCTTTGTTTAAATTAAAGAGTCAAAAGAATTCACAGCGCAATTACAAACAACTATGTAGATACATTGTACTAACTTGATCTTGCTATATTTAAACGAGACTCATAAAACTCATTTATTTCTGTAAATAGGCTTAAAAAAAGCACTTTTACACGTCCCAGTATTAACCCTACCACTGCTTCGGGACAATAAATGAGCCAGTGCTGAGAAGAAGCAGCGCAAGAAACTCAGTCACTACTGTCAGCCACTTTTTCAAAGGTCTACAGACTTTAAAATGTACAAAGTTATAAATATTTATGAGGTTTGCTTAATCAAAGCTATTTATAACTAACTATAATACACTGCTTGCCTATTCCGCTCCCAAACTCGTGCTTGCTTACAGGTCTCGGTCTTTATCTCTTTAAAATAGGTAAGTGGAAGTCAAGGTTTTTTTAATTTGTTTAGACAAATGTATATGTACCTACTCGTAGTTAATTAATTTTCAAACTATCAATACAAAACTATGTATAAAAATTGGCCAAGTGCATGTCGTGCCACGCGCAGTGTAGGGTTCCGTAGTTGTCCGTCGTTCGTTCGTTTCAGCCAAATGACGTCCACTGCTGGACAAAGGCCTCCCCCAAGGTTTTCCACAATGCACGGTCCTGCGCTGCCCGCATCCAGGCTATTCCCGCGACCTTTACCAGATCGTCCGTCGTTAATACAATATATTTCAGAAGCAAGCAATTACTTCATCTAAAGTCACTTTTAATATTTTCTTCTAGGGAATTTTTACTAGTTAAGAAAATTTATAATACATGAGTTAAATGACTATTACTCTTAAACTTACTTAACTGATGTATCTTAACCGTTACAGTTTTCCTTGAAAGTTCATGAAAAGCAGTATTATTACGAATTTTTCCAGATTTTTAAGCCAACAGTTTAGTTTTTAGAGAGGGGACAAAAATTGGCACTTTAAAATTTTAAAATTAATAATAATCTTAAAAACCCCAGAGCCATTTTAAAAGACCTATCCATCGATACCCCACTCGATGGGGTAGAAGTTGAAAAAAATATTCATCCCCACTTTAAATGTAGGGGAGCTACCCTAAAAATTTTTTTTTCAAAATTTTATTCTACTGTTTTGTCGGCGTGATTAATATACATACCTCTACAAAATTACAGCTCTATAGTGCCAATAGTTTCCAAGCAAAACCTCGGACAGACAGACAGACAGACATATCGAAACTATAAGGGTTCCTTGCCAGGACTACGGAACCCTAAAAAAGGTAAAGAAAAGTATTCTCTTTACTACATCTTTACTTTAACTTTTCTTTCAAATCTTAACTACCTATCTACATGCTGTAAACTTTTCCACATCCGTGTGAAATGCACTTAAAGGCTACAAACAAACTTAACCTGTCGTTTATTTAATATTCGCACGCACACAAATCCATAGATAAGCGGAGTGTTTGGCTTTCCCATCAATTTCACCAAATCGCCCGTAAATAACTATTATTATTATTATCGGCTATTATTAATAATAAAATTACGATATCAGCCGATAGAGGCGCGTGCCGTGATTGATAAGTAATTTGAAATTATTTTTATATTTTATGATTACTCGACGGTGTCCATAGCAACTATCTTTTAATATTGAACTAGTTTCTTCCTGCGGGTTTTTCAGCGTTGATTTTCGCCATCATTTGCTGATTTCTGTCCTATTTTTTGTGTGATTATTTGTCTGTATATGAAAATTGTTTGTTTCCCTAATATAAATAAATAAAAAAAATAAATAAATAAATAAATCATTCGTTTATTTATTACGAACAGCATCATCATCATATATTTAAGCCAGCTGATTTACGCCCATATTCACAAACATTACTATGAGGTCTCACAGTGCGCGTGGACGCACAGGGTGACACACGAAATCACAGAGCTGTATTCAACGTTGTGCGTTTAAGAATAAGAATAAGAATACTTTATTCAGCATAGAAAAATAAAATAAAAATACAGTACATTAACATTAAACATTAAACTACAAGCTATGCTGAAGAGGCGTCCGCTCAGCTATATTCGCGACATAACAAGCGCCATGTCGAGAAGCTGGTTTTCAGCGGGAACCAACACGATGAAGATTGCGGATTGCGGGACCATATTGAGGCTACCAGTCAAGAAGGCGCGCAACACAACGCAACGTTCGATTTGCTGCTTACTTAAGCAAGCATCGTTTGTGAATACGGGCGTTAGTCTCCACTGCAGGAGCACGGGCCCTCTAATTGACCAGAGGCAAATGGAGGATTTGTCCTACACTCCCCACGCTGGCCAGACGGGTTGGGGAGGCCTGATGTTCGCGTATTTGTCCCTTAGTCGCTTACAGCATCAACGGAAAGAGTGGGGATGGTCCTATTCGAGTTACTATGCCAGAATACCAAAAATACACAGAATTTTCTGTCGCCAATATAAAAAATTGGTTTTCCTCTCAAAATTTCACCTTATAAGTTACTTTTAATGGAGTATTTTTAGTTTAAGAATGTCGATTTTAACTCGTTCGTTTCAGCCAAATGACGTCCACTGCTGGACAAAGGCCTCCCCCAAGGCTTTCCACAATGAACGGTCCGGCGCTGCTCGCATCCAGGCTCTTTCCGCGACCTTTACCAGATCGTCGGTCCACCTAGTAGGAGGCCTGTCCACTATTTTAACTCAATTTATTTTATCTAATTTTAGGTACAGTACAGTACAAAACATTTTGACTTAAAAAATTCTTCAATTTGATTTAATTGATACCGTAATGCGTTTATGTCTTTTCTATGGCGCTACGAATATCTTTAATTAAAAATTCGAATAAAATAATTTTTTTTGTTCTTTCATTAGTTAATATGCCATTTAATTTTACATTAAACTGCTCCTATTAATTTATATTATAAATTTTGTATGTTAATTTTGTTGAACGCGCTAATCTCAGGAATTACTGGTTCAAAGCAGTGTTTGTAACAAACTTCGAAACGGCTTGACCGATTCTTATGAAATTTCGTGTATATTCAGTAGGTCTGAGAATAGGACGCAAACTCCATTTCCATTCTCCTAGGTGATAAGTGTTTTACCCGTACCAAGTCGCGGGCACAGCTAGTCTTCTAAATATCCTACTTAATATTATAAATGCGAAAGTTTGGATGTCTGGATGTCTGGATGTTTGTTACTCTTTCACGCAAAAACTACTGAACTGATTTTGTTGAAACTTTACAGTATTACTGTTTATAACCCAGATTAACATATAGGGTATAATTTATGACAATCTGTGACATATTAAATTTCACGCGGGTGAAACCGCGGGCAAAAGCTAGTATACGATATAACTCAAAGGTGACTGACTGACTGACTGATATAGTAATCTATCAACGCACAGCACAAACCACTGAACGGATCGGGCTGAAATTTGGCATGCAGGTAGACGTTATGACGTAGGCATCCGCTAAGAAAGGATTTTATGAAACTCCACCACTAAGGGGGTAAAACGGGATCCACACATACGAAGTCGCGGGCGGCCGCTAGTAATTTATAAAAGGTTCATTTATTCACGTAATACTCTAACGGCACCTAATTGGCCAATACAAGCCAATCAAGCTGGTTATATGCAAATTTTGTAATGGAGAGTCAATATTTTCTATGTATTAGACGCACACTTAAACCTGTATGTACTTGGCGGCTATAATTGGATTATGTAGTCCGTAAAGTAAATAAAATTTAGTGAAAATTTAATGTGAGTAATGCTTTCATCTTTTTAAAGGGTTTTGGTATAGCAAACAAGAATATTCTGGCAATTTTTAGTATATTTAAGGGAGATAGTTGAACATAAATAAAATATGTATCTAAATAGGTAGTATTAGATCTACCACTATATCATAACTACACATGCCGTTAGGCCAATAATATCCCTTACCTCTTCAAGTAATAGTTTGCTTGGTTCACAAAAATCGAAGGAAATAGTACTAGTTTGAGACAAATATATACTTAGAGAAATACGGTTATCAACGCGTCATTTTTATTAGTTACCTACATAGTACCTATTCTACCGTGTTTCTCTGTTTTAGTTGAAATAGCTTAGTTGAAATACTTTCTAGTTATAAAATAGCGTTCTTCAAATATAGAAAAAGGCTCTTTAAAAACTTATTTACAGTAAATAAATTAATCATTTCAATTATTTGAGTCTGACGTTAGGCTATTACCGCCTTATTTATTTATTTTATTTGGTGCACAAAACAGGGATACAACCTACAACCATAACATACACATAGCGTTTAAAACATACAATGTTCCTTTATCTTTAGCCTAGTTTTTGTTTCAGACGTACCATGTAACGAGCCGTCATGTCATCCCAGATATTACCCCACCCGATGTACCGCCGCGACTCCTCCGACCAAGACCGCCCTTTAGAAATCGACCATGATGGCGACCATAGCCGCTCAAGCAGCCCTAAAAACATGAAGTATTACAAACAGTTGGACGAAGACAAAACTATACTGAACCAAGGCAAGAAATCCTTTTGCATTGACGCGTTACTGTCAAGGCATATCGAGCCAGAGACGACTCTGCAAGACAGAATGGCGCAGCAGAAGTATTTAGCGTTAATCCAGAACAAAAACTACATAAACAGATTTGAAAACTACGACGCTCAGATAGAACAGAATACTATAGACAAGTTTCAAGGGCAGAGCTTTGAGCAGAGAGCAGAGAGTCCCAGGAGTGGACAGAGCAGTCCCAGGAGTGGGAGCCCAGTGTCTGAGGATGGGAATCGGTCGGGGAGTTACAGTCCGCCTATTTCCCCGGGAGTGGAGGGAGGGAATGAGGAGTATGAGAGCTATAGGCCTGGTAAGTTGCATTTTAATTACTTTAGTATCGTTCTTGCGACTTACGAAGGCGAGTAAGCTTTATTTGTGTGTGTACGTGTACATGCACATATAACGACAATGTTAATGTCTATCAAAACTTAAAAAAAAACGAACAGTAGCGAGCCACCACACATGTAAAGCTCGCTCGCCTTCGTGAATTGCAACAACTATAACCTACTCCTAAATGAGTATGTTCCTGCATTAGTGAAGCAGAAGGGTGTATTTTTGTTACGTCAAACGTCAGTGAAGCTTCAGTTGTGCTTCAGACATGTGTATCATGAAAATCACTTTGTGGCGCGCTCTATGCGTTTCAGTTGGATAGTCAGTTATAAAGACGCGTGTAGTGCGGGATACGTATCGTGACAGTTTAACTTTCCCCCGGGACAAACTTGACCTTTACTGGTTGGGTTGTCGGCGGTCAAGCTGTAGATCCTGGCTACACGGGAGTTGCAGCGGTGAAACGAGAGGTGGGATTAGTCCCGAGAACCTATCTAATAGGAGACAGGGCATTAAGGCTTGGTATTTCTGCTAAAGTAGGTATTTCGCGCTGTCAAAATCTGCGCGCGCAATACTTCGCCGAAGACAGCGCGCCAAAGAGCTCTCGCGGCTACACAGTATAGAAATAAGCAGTTTGGAAATACGCAGTTGGTTAGGTTAGGTTGACTTCCTTCCGTTCAAGCGTCACACTCACAGCACTTTCTAATACAAATCATATCCAAGTGATACAAATTAAAACAACTTTCAAAATTTTTGGGAATATATTTTAGAATCGAATAAATATAGAATATAACTGCCAAAGTAAACACGGTTCAAAGAGGCGTGGCGTCACCCGACCTTCCGGAAGTTCCGCGCCGGCTAAAAGAATTTCAAGATTACGTCACCCGACCTATCGGTAGATCCTCGGGAGCTTGAGCGATTGGAAAAACATTTTATGATCAGTTACTCGTAGTAGCGATTATTTAGAGCTTGGATAATAAATTATAGTTGTTGCAATTCACAAAGCTTTGCATGTGGTTAATTACATTAATCAGTACACGCATCAATTTTGTTCAGTCTTTTTGTTTATTAATAAATAAAAATATCATACTAAAATTGCATACATATTTGTTTGTATTGGTCTGGGTGTTTTCTTTCCATAATAATAATACTTAATTGATTACAAATAAATAAGTAATTTGAGACAATCATCCGTAACATTCCGAAGTCCGCTGTATAAATAAATTTCGGTGGATTGATTCTTAATTCCGGTGGCTCAAATACAATTTCGGTGGCTCTTGATAATTTCAAATTGACATATCTCGAGAAGTATTAATAATATTTTGATCTCTACCATATCATTGAATAATACAAGTTATTTACTATTATTTCTGCCACAAAAAAGTTTTGGAAAGTGGAAATTAAAATTCGCCACCGGAATTAGGCAAAAAACGAGTTTGTTGATATTCACCCATTAACATTATTAGGTTGGGGGCAGTTTAGAATTTAGGAGTAGATATTCGTACCAGTGTCTTCTGTAGTTTCATTTTTTTCTTTAAAACATTTAATCCTGTCATTCCATAAAACCAGTAATTCCAAAAACTATGTTTTTTCTCGGTTAAGTTCGAAGGTTAACTGGCAAAGAATCCCTAAGGTACTAAGTACGCTTTATGTACCAATTAGAGTGGCATTCGAGTTCATTAATTAAAAAAAAATACCAACGGATTGAAAACCTCATCCTTTTGTTGAAGTCGGTTGGTAAATAAGTAAAAATATTAAAGATCAAAAGAGAAACATTTTTAATATCATAAAAAGTAGTTAGTCTTGTATTCTATAGGTATCCAGCAATACATGGACGTTGAAGCCAATTGCAATAGTGAAAGGTTTTAAAAAAAATGAAAAAAGCAACAAATTTTTAAGTTTTACCTTTCTTATCTCACCAACATCAAAAACAAGCTCCAAATTGTGTAATATACTTACTTAGGGCTGATTTTTAATCGTCAGTACCTTCTTCTTCTTTTAACTGAAGAATAAACTTATTATTTTGACATATTATTTTCTCATACTAAAACCAATATGCCAACTTATTCTTCAGTCAAAAGTTATTCCACGATTGAAAAATCAGCCTTTAGAAAACTTACAACTATTCCCTGATTTTATCACTGCTCCTTTCCGAAAGTGTTAACAGTGTAAAAATCGTCACTCTCCCCCGTGACAGGGGTGATAGAGTGGCATGTGGCATAGACAAACAGGGGCGACAGCAAACACGCGGTGATTTACTATGGTGGCTTTGTCAGAGGCACTGAAAAAAATGTGTTGTTGACATTGGCTACTAAGGCCAACTAACTTTAACCGTAACTAAGTATTACAATAACCGGTGTTTTTTGTATGGAGTTTGACATATTTTATACTAGCTTTCCGCCCGCGGTTTCTCCCGCGTAGAATTTTGTCTGTCACAGAAAAACTTTATCGCGCGCGTCGCTGTTTCAAAAACCGGGATAAAAACTATTCTATGTCCTTTCCCGGGACTCAAACTATCTCTTTGTCAAATTTCATCAAAATCGGTTCAGTGGTTTAGGCGTGAAAGCATGACAGACAGACAGAGTTACTTTCGCATTTATAATATTACTCATATCTCGTAGTATACATACTTGTAATATAAATAGTATAGATGTTTGTTAAAGCCAAAGTATAAGATGGTGCAATTTGTGATGGTTTCTATAAAAATAGTAGAATACCTAAGCGGGAAAATAAAGCGCCATATTTGGGAGTTTTGTTCTTGTTGATTATTCAGTGTTCATCATTTATGTTGGATAAATTGTCAGTTACTATTAGCACGAACTTTTTAAAGAATTCATCACAGCATCTTACTTGAATAATGCAGCAAAACAACCAGATAAAGTTGAAATGTTTTATTTCGATCGATCACTGATAAAACGTATCAGTCGACGACGAATTTGACAGCTTATCATTATAAATTGGTAATACACGTCCACAATACATCAGATTATTGAAAATCACAAGTGATATTGTATTATTATTGGTATTTACGCGAATAATGGATCGACTAGGGGTTGGTAAATCGTTTCAAAGATTCTACACCCGAGAAACGTTAGTTAGAAGCATTTTTGTTTAAAAAATCGTTTATTTTCTTTGAGTAATAATTAAAACGATTTTTTTATTATGACTTCGTGCGGTTTTCACTTTCAAGTAGTGGAAAGTAAAATGACATTTCAAGTGAATAAATATCATTCAAAATCTGTACCAAATAAACCAGTATTTAACCAAAACTACTTAGGTACCCTTTATTTTTCCTTGTATCTCAAACTTTCATCTTAATCGGTTCTGTGATTTAAGCCTAAAATGTAACAGACATAGGCCCGGTTTTTTGATTCGTAGTTAAATTAACCAATGGTCAAATTTGACAGATGTCAAATGACAAGTGGTTAAATATCAGAAAAAAATGTTTTTCGAACAATGGTTAGCTTGACTTTTAGTACATTTTTTAACTATTAGTTAACATTTTGTTAATATTAAACCATTAGTAGCAAAATTTGCCTATTGGTTATTTTAACTACGAATCAAAAAACCGGGCCTAGAGTTACTTTTGCTTTTAAACATTATTTAATATATGGATTAGTTACATAAGGACAATGAATTAAAAACAAAACTTAACTAAGCCTACAACAATAATAATTATTCGACAAAATCTCATTATTCGGTATTACTTTCAATTAATCTCTTCGCACTAATCATCAACACTTACCCTAATTTAAACATCAAAAATTAAACAGCAATAACCATTATAGCCCCGATTAGTGCCAAACCGATCCACCCTTACGTTTAGGGATGGTTTGCCATATCGACGCCATAACAGGTGCGGGGCCACCATATGTGCGAGCAATAAAATTGACAATATTGGCGCGATAAAAGCCGGCCCGGTTTGGTGTTTAGGGTCGGTTGAAGAAGATTTTTATATTTAGTAGAAGGGTAGTGTTATAAAACTAAATTCAAGTTCTTGATTTGTATGAAGACCCTTATTAGGGCACTTATCCACGAACCAAATATACTCGTATAGTTTTCTCTACCACCACTTCAGAACAACAAAAGGTAAAGCAGACAAAAAACTGAAAAAAAAAACTCATAAACCTCATTTATTTTTGTAAGTAGGCTTTTAAAAAGCACTTTTACACGTCCCAGTATTACCTAACCCTATCACTGCTTCGGGACAATAAATGGGCCAGTGTGCTGAGAAGAAGCAGCGCAAGAAACTCAGTCACTATTGTGTCTGTTCTCTCCACTCCACTTTGACCCCTAGCTGTGATTTCCATGGGTGATTAAAGCACACCAAAATGTCGCCTTTGTCAGCCAATTAATAACATACAACACCATGAACAAAATATACAGGCGTGCTAAACATGTAAACAGTTTTGTCAGCTCTTTCCCCGAGAAATTTAATGAATGCTACTGACAAGCGACAACTCCACTTTTTTAGCAGAGTTTTGGGCTGACACTGACAGGTTTGTTGTCGAAAAAAGAAGAAGACTATAGAGACTCTTCGTAGATTTCGTTTTCGTAAAGATACGATCACCCATCCCAGTTTTACCGTGACTAAGGCTGTCTAGACGAAGTTGCCTACCACTTGACCAATTTTTCTAGATAAAAGGATGATGAAATCTATCAATAAATACTTCTCTTAACCGCACAAATACCGAGTTTATTGATAAATGATTGCGCTCAAGATAAAATATAGGATCTTAGTTGATAAATCTAAATCCATACTTGTTAAAAAATATTATATTAAGGCCAAAAGCATTTGTCCAAGTAATGTTTGCTATTTATTTAAGCTAGACATTCACGGTCAAATATTATTTATTTTTTACGGATCCGGCGACTGGGACCGCGGTCCCAGTTAATTGCGGTCCCAGTCGCCGGAAGCCTCAACTAACCTACCATCCGTTTATGTGAACTTTTAACTTGAAATTCACAGAAACACTGTCAGTT